CCTGTCTCTGGTTGCCCTTGAGAAGGCAGTAGTGGGATGGGTTGACCCACAATGCCATTAGGGAGGGAATTCCAGGATTTTGATCCAGCGACAGTGAAGGAACGGCGATCTATTTCTGAGTCAGGATGGTAAGTGGCTTGGATGGGACCGTGCAGGTGGTGGCATTTTGACGTATCTGCAGCCCTTGCCTTCTAGATGGAAGTAGTCATGGGTTTGGAAGGTGCTGTCTGAGGATCTTTGGTAAATTTCTGTAGTGCAGCTTGTAAATAATACACATTGCTGCTACTGAGCATTAGTGGTACAGGGAGTGGATGTTTCTGGATGTGGTGCCAATCAAGTGGGCTGCTTTGACCTGATTGGTTTCAAACTTCTTGAGTGTTGCTGGAGCTGCACTCATCCAGACAAGTGGGGAGTATTCCATCACATTTCAGACTTGTGCCTTGTGGATGTTGGAGTTTTGGGGAGTCAGGAGGTGAGTTACTCACTACAGTATTCCTAGCATCTGACTTGCTCTTGTAGATGCTTTACGTGGCAAGCCCAGTTGAGTTTGTAGTCAATGGTAATCCCAAGGATGTTGATAGTGGGGCATTCAGTGATGGTAACACCATTGAATATTAAGGGGTGTTGGTTCCATTTTCTCTTATCGGAGATGGTCACTGCCTGTCATTTTTGTGGCACAAATGTTATTTGCCACGTGTCAGCCCAAGCCTGGGTATTATCCATATCTTGCTGCATTTGAACATGGGTTGTTTCAGTATCTGAGGAGTCATGAATGCTGCTGAATGTTGTGCAATCATTGGCAAACATCCCCATCTCTTAGCTTATGATGGAGGGAGGGTCATTGATGAAGCAGCTGAAGATGGTTGGGCCGAGGACACTGCCCTGAGGAACTCCTGCAGAGATGTCCTGGAGCTGACATGACTGTCCTCCAACAATCACAATCTGTTTCCTGTATGTCAGGTATGAGTCCAACCAATGTATGTGTGATTTTTTTTCTTTTTGTGGAGCCCTGCTGGAGTTTTCTGACATGGAATGTGATCCACCAAAATAATTGTCATGACCTCCTCAGTTGATTAGGCTAATTAAAATTCAGCTACTGTAATTTTCTGAATAAAGGGACAGCAAACCACTTTGGTGCAGGAATGCAGGGCTTCACTCGGGCTTTCTAAAATGGAGTGCAATATACCAAACTGATCCTACGTTGATTAGACCAATGAAAAGTTAGTGACCTATTTAGAATTTTCTATTTCTTAACACTGCATTAACTATTAGTGAATCATAGAACCCCTGCAGTGTGGGAGAAGGCCATTTGGCCCATAATATCCACACCAACCCTCTGAGCAGCATTCCACCCAGACCCACTCCCCTACCCTAACCCTGTAACCCTGCTTTTCCCATGGATAATCCACCTAGCCTGCACATCCCTGGACACTATGAGCAATTTAGCATGGCCATTCCACCTAACCAGCCCATCTTTGGTCTGTGGAAAGGAATCGGAGCACCCAGACGAACCCATGTAGATAGGGGGAGAATGTGCAAACTCCACAGTCACCCGAGGGTGGAATCAAACCAAGGTCCTTGGTGCTGTGAGGCAGCAGGGCTAACCACTGAGTTACTGTGCCGCCTCAAGCTGTAAAGCACTTGGAACAGTGCTGAGTGCAGGAGTGGTTTAGGGCAACAAAAATCAAACAATTTAAAAATTACTGCAGCGTGGAAAGCTGGGAAGGGAGTGCATCATTTGCTCCTCCCAAAGGAGGGCTCCTTTCAAGCAACATTTGAAAAAAGTGGAGCAGACTTGAACTGATTTTCCAGATGGACAGGGAGAAAGGTTAAGAAGGTGTAGGAATATCTGTGACAACAACCTGGGACTGTACAGCATTTCTACTGCTGCTGCAACAACCTGATCTTTCTGACACTCATCTGACTTTCGGTGCTAATAGCTCTAACTCAATGTAGAAAATCAACACCACAACTTCCGTCCAATGGGCCATCAGGCCAGCTAATGCATTACAGCAAAAATAGGATAATTCTGAAAGATGTTGAATGGTTTCAGATTTAATTACAGAAATTTAGGAAATTTCTGAAAAGGTAAGTGAGAAGATACAAGTTACAAATTTCAAGAACAACAAAGCTGTTATGAAAAAATGATTAATTGAGCAATTCATCTTCATTATCCAATAGTTAAAGAAATAATTGCAACTTCTAGAAAATGTGCTGTAGAAGATACAACATTTAATAAAATGGAAGTGATTGAATGACTTAAAACACTGAACAGTAAACGCAACAAAAAATTTGGAAAATCCCAGCAATGATTCTGAAGTGATACATTGGAGTCAAGCAACAATAGTTAAATATAGTGAAAAAGAAAAAGATAATACACCTACAAACACTTTTAAAATCCCCAAATCCTCCAGACGGAGAATTGGATTAGATTATATAGACGATACAATTCCTGCAATATAAGGTTGCTTCAGGATTACACTAAAAATTCCCAGAAGTACACGTGAATATATTTCTTTATGTTCTAGGCCTGGTTGCAGATGATGTTTTTAAATAATAGAAAAGAGACAGATGCCTTTTTGATAATATTCTAAGAGCACTTGACAATTACTTTACATCAAGTGCCAACTGTATAATGGAGAGCCAGATTTAACAGGATACAGCTTCCTGGAGAATCTGTTGACAGCAACTGATAATGATCAGTACATTGTCAGGATTTTGTGTGGATAGTTATTTACAACCGGAACTAATTTGAGAGAATGTTGTTGGAATTTCTGATTCATCTCTTTTCAAATGTTACAATCAAAATATATTTCACATTGGAAAGATAACGGTAAAAGCTGAAATTCAAACTCTGCTCAAAGAAATGATGGGCAGCGGCAAACTAACCTAGTTCAAAGCTCATCAGACCTTGTCAACTTACTAAAGTACCAAAATAATAAAACATTGTATGATAGACCAACAGTAAATAACTTTAAATCCTTTGATTCTAAAAGTTAGTTTTCCAGATATAGAGTTAAAAAGAAAACAGAGACACAAAGGTTAACATCTTGTCGTAAGCATCTTTGAAAGAAAACCCATAATACCAGGATATACCTTCATTAGACATGCATCAACTTTTCTGAAGGGTGATTATCCTCTATATGATCCAGATATGACCCTGATCATACAGGTTATCCATTATCCAACTACTTTCAAACTTGACATTGAGGCAAGTGATTCTGTTTTCTCAGAGAAAATTCCATGGTTCAGAAGAATGAAGCTACAACTGTCTGAGAGAGTATTGCATAGAGAAGGTAGAATATGACTCAAAGGAATACAGAGACAAATGCTCTGTGGTATACGTGCACTTCTGCAGAAACCAGCAATTCTGAGCAGAAATAAATGGTTCACTTTTAAAATTGAACAGTACATTGAAAAACCTCAACCAGGTAGGAAACTAGATAACAATGATCAATGTACCTTTTACTCAACATAAAGACTCCATAGATCCCAGAAGAATGTTTGTTTACTGAGTCTGAGGGAAAAAAAGAAGCCACTCGAGATAATTGGACAATATTACTGATATTTCACAGGTTTGGTGGAATTATTCAATTGCCTTTCAACCGCAGATACAATTTCAAAACCTGAGCATAGGATATCCTTGACGCCATATCAATCGGGGCACTGTGGTAAACCCTGAATAGAGTCAATTCAACTGTTTTTGAAGAAGCAGCATCAAAACAGTGTGGTCAGCTTTACTGTATGAGTGTCACTATCAGGTTCAGTGTCGACCGAAAATATACAAGCTAGGGTGAAGGGATCACAAGTGAGGTGTACCTTTATAACCATGTCAGAAGGGGAAAGTTCATTCTTCCACATACACAACCATATTCTCTGGCCTAATTTGAGGAAAATAAGGATCCTCCAATAGATACAAATGTCCACGAGCAGCATCAATTCCAGAAGATGTCCTCAGCAAAGAACATCACAGAAATCAAAACTCCACCAAGATTCCACTTGGAATATATGGAACCTGAATATTTCTTCAAGTAGCAGAGTTTCAATCCAATCAAGGCATCAGTCATTTATAAAATCAAGGACTTGGTGGTAGAAGTGAGCTCAGGGTAGTGATAAACCTACTTTCAATATTTCAAACAATTATATGAAGAATTTAACAACCAAAAATGTGCTTTGGAGATATATAAGGCAGTTAGTATGTGAAAATGTTAACTGATTTCACAAGATAAACTCTGTCCAGTGGGATATAAGGACAATTCCTGCAAGGAGCTAACCAGCTCTCCATGTGTGTACAGTGCCCCAATGATTATTCTTTCCAGTTAACAGCATAGCTCACATTATTACTTTAGCTTACTCTTAACGTTGAGCCTGATGTCTTGTGAAGCAGTCATGTATCTCCACCTATAATGGAACTAGTTCATAAGTAATGTGCTGTAAACATTTACTGTTTTGTCAAGATAGACTCCATCTTCTGCCAGCAATGTCACGTGGACATCCTTTGCCACTTGGTATCAGTAGCCTAATACTAGCAAGAAGTGTGGGTGGTAGTAAATCCATTCATACCATGTTGACTTGCAACCTATGTTATAAGAAACCTAGACCTTCCTTTTGATTTATTAGCTCCTCCCTGTGCCTGTGTTTGCTTAAAACCTGCTATATCTCTATAATCTCTTCTTGCTCCAGCAATGAATAATCAACTTGAAATGTTAACTCTGTTTCTCTCTCTACAGATGCTGCCAAACAGCTATTTCCAACATTTTCTGTTCTTACTTCAGATTTTTAGCATTGCAGGATTTTCATTTACTGCATCAGATTTCTGTTTTTGCATGTTGATAGCATCATTTTGTACTTCATAATTCCTATTTGTTAATATGTAGAAATGTATTTCATAATAAGTCATTTGTGGCCAGATATTCTAGTGTGGGGATTGCGCATAAAAATATAAAGACATTCAAGATGACTATCTCCATTATAACATTATGTCCTTTGTGTTCATTCAGCCTCCAGTTCCATCACTGCCAAAATACAAGCCATCCATGTCAATTCCAGATTGGTTGCGCACAATACAAGGCTACATGAAGCTGCTGCAGTATCCTTTCTATTTTAACCTTTTTTAAAAACTCATTAGTGTCAGTAAACAAATATAATTTGCAGCATCCGTATACAAGGCTTTTCTGGGGTTTAAGATTCGATTAAGGTCTCTAACCCTAACTGCTTGTTCCGGTCATTATTTAATAACTTTATTCTAATCTAATTTTGATAACTGTCTTTGTATTACTGGCTTTTTAACCTGGAGTTCTTTTAATCAGTAATTACTAAAATTGAATATCTCTCAAAGCTCTTTTAATGCCATTGCAAACCAGGAATCATGAAATTGTTGAATTCTGTATGAGCTATTCTGCAAATCTATGTATTTAAGAGAATCTGCTCTATCTGTCTGATTTGAGCTTTGTCTCATTCACCTATTACACCTGTGCTTACTGATTTACATTGGCTCCCAGTCAGGAAACATCTTTACTTTTAACTTTGCATCCTTGTTTTCAGGTCCCTACGTGCCTTGTCCCTCCCTTTCTCTCTCTGCACCAGCCCCACCAACCTCCAAGATGCCTGAGGTCTAATTCTAGTCTCTTATACATTCCCAATTGCAATTGCTTCCCCATCGGTAAACATGTCTTCAAATGCCTGGGCCCCAAGCTCTGAAATTTCCTCACTGCATCTTTCTGCCCCTCCAACTCACTCTCCTCCCTTTTAAAAGACTCCTTAAAACTCACCTCGTTGATTAAGCTTTTGGTCATCTGACCCAAAATCTCCTTATGTAGCCCAGTACCATACTTTGTCTTATAATACCTCTGTGAAATGCATTGGGATGTTTCATTATATTAACAATGTCAAATAAACATGAATTGTTAATCATTAATTATAAAGTTTATATTATTATTAGATTTTAATTATAAAATATCATTAAAAGAACCGTTGGCATTGATAACCAGCAACTATGTAAACTTCTGATAGTTGGAAAGATATGATTGACTTACTACTTTGCTTTTAGTCTTTAGTGTTGGGTAGATTTAATGCACATTATTTACTGAGTAACTTTATTAAATAAGAAGGCTTCTTGGGCACTAGCTATTAGTTTAAAGGAACATTGTGTGATGTGCTCAGTGTTCTTTGCAAGCTTCTGCTGATTGTTTGCTCATTTCATGTCCTGTTTCAAATTAATTTGGGTTTTATTCAAAATTTAATTGTTACTGACTCATTAATTACAAATATGACCACCTTCCTTCCTCTCCATGATCTCACAAAAGCAGTCCTTTTGTACAGTTTCCTTCAGTACAGAGCACAAGGAGAACAACTCGAGACAACAAGGTGCAGGGCTGGATGAACACAGCAGGCCAAGCAGCATCATAGGAGCAGAGAGGCTGACGTTTCGGGCCTAGACCCTTCATCAGAAAAGGGGGAGGGGAAGGGGGTTTTGAAATAAATAGGGAGAGAGTGGGAGGCGGATAGAAGAGGGATAGAGGAGAGGATAGGTGGAGAGGAAACAAACAGGTCGAAGAGGCGGGGATGG